GCAGCGGATATGAAACCTTCTGACTTGAATGGTTAGAAGTAAACCTGGTTTCTAATCTTTCCCTTTTGTAGTAGATGATTTGATGGTTGATGAATGGAATCGGATGTAAATTTTCAGGATTAGCTGATCCATATGTGAAGGGGCAAGTTGGCTCGTATCGGTTCAAGACGAAGACTCATAAGAAAACGTTGTCTCCAAAATGGCATGAGGAGTTCATGATCCCCATCTTCTCTTGGGACACACCTAATGTACTAACACTCGAAGTTCTCGACAAAGATCATTTTGTTGATGATTTCCTCGGGTTTGTCCATGACGTTTGATATCAATTGTTGCTTTGCTATCTTTATGTTCATATTTTCTGCATATTCTGTTTTCTAGATTTATTATGTTTGCAGTTCGGTTCTTGTTGAACGGACTGATTTATTTTGTTACGATTTACAGTAAATGTACGGTGAATATCGGCGATTATCGGGGTGGCCAGAGACATGAGATATGGTTGCCTCTTCAAAATACTAAAATGGGAAGAGCACATATCGCTATAACAGCGCTTGAAGATAACACTAAGGGAAGTAATGGTGCAGTCGATGTCGAAGCATTAAGCAAGGAAGACTCATTTAAATCCTTACCAGCTAAAGCTTCTAATAAAGGTTCATCCTCACCTATATCTTCAAGTAAATCTGTGAACCTTCCGGATCATTTTGAGCCTATAAACATTGAAGGACAACAAGAAACCGGGATATGGTTTCACTGTCCCGGAAGTGAAGTGTTGCAGACTTGGGAACCAAGAAAAGGAAAGGCTAGAAGCATTGAGACAGAGATTCATGGAGTGTCTAATGATTCTTTGGGCATCAACCTTTCAGCAGGATCTTTATCCCCTAAAAGTGACCACAGCAGTTCCCCTGATGCGAAAAGAAACCGAGTTAAGCACGGTCTTCAGAAGAAAAGAGTGGTATTTTATAGGAGAAAAAGCGACCGTCAGTCGGGCAGCCTTGAAGAGGTGTTTCAATTTCCTGATGTGAACCTCAAAGCTGTTGATGACAAGGAAGTTCTCGAGAAGTTAATCCCAGATGAAAATCTTCTGGGGCATTCAACCGATAAGATCTCGAATGAAGGAAGCTTGAGTACTACTGAAAGCAGCTCCGAAAGCCCTAGCAAAATAAGATGTATGGCTAGTTTTCTAAAACGTGCTGAGAAATCTGCTCGTCGAATCAAATGTGTTTTATCCAATAAAGGAAGAAAATCTCGTGAATCATCTATTTTCAACGAAGACTTTGTGATAGGATTAGAATCCTCCGCCGATGAATACGAGTCATCCCTCGGAGTCAAGGAGTGACCAACAATCTCCAATATGGTTCCTACTTCCGGTGGAAGTGCCGATCCTCAGGAGCTTGCCATTGTGCCAGTTCCAAGCAACCAAGTTGATCCAGTAATCACTGTAGGGACAAAAACAAGATGATAATGAGGTGAGCTGTTGCATGAAGCTAAGTAATGCAGTGACCTAATCCCCTAAACCAAAGTTCCTAAAGCATACTTGGAGTGCAAGAAACAGGTTTAGAACTTTAGTGGGGATAAACAGAAAATGGTTAAAATATTAAAAGAGCCCCTGAATTTTACTGCTTTATTTAGATAAGTCCCTATACTTTTTTTAACACTTTAATTTTCACTGGTTCTTTGATGAGTACCTAAGTAAGCCCTCATGGAAGGTTGATATATGTGAAAGGACTTATTTAGGTACAAAATTAAGCCATAGTGAGGACTTATTTGAATACAAGTTAAGGGCTTATGCGAAGTACAGGGACTTATTAGCTTAGCACTAAAATACTGAAGCAAGTTTTGAAGAGTGGTAGTGGACGTATATCTATTGTAGTCAGTACCGTATATCAATATGTACTGTTTTTAAGGTGCAAACGAACCGTATATATACTCTAATATTATAGTTTTTGTATATGTCCAAATATAGGCTGTGTACTAGTTTGTATTGGTTAACCAAAATTTTGATTCTTTATTATTTTATTTTATATTTTTTGTTTCATAATTGTATTGGTTTTAAAATTTATATAATTAGGACTATTCTCATGAATATTTATACAAGTTAATTGAACTTAGGATTGGAAGGAAGTAGATGAAGCAAAGTTTTTAGAAAAAAAAAATTATCTCAATTTAGTTGTCTCAAATGTTGAAGGAATTGATTTTTATATACGTTAATTTTAAGAAATTTTCATTAATAAATCATAAGTATAAAACTATATTATTCTCATTTTCACCAATTTCAAGTTAATATATATATATGACAGATATAATGCTCATTCACATCAAAATTCACTAATTTGAAGTTAAGGATATTCATCCTGCAAATTTTCTACATTTATTCTCTTTACAGTTTGATCCTTAAACTTTTTACTTTGACATTTTTTATTTTTAATTTAATCCCTTCTATTCCCCTCTTCAATATTGCCACTAATATCTTGCAATGTTCAGAATTTTATCTCATTGTCTGTTGAGATCTCTTTACTAGTATCGTTTTCATTTGTTATATTGCTCTTTATTGCGATATCATCAGCAACAACACAATTCACCTTCTCAATTTTCACTATTTCTTTGATTTCTTTCGTTACTCGTGGCTTTCTATATCAAATCGTGTTTCGACTCATCTACATATGTCAACGTTGTTTCACCTGAATCTCCTTCCCCTATCATCACAAACGAAATAATCTCCGATCCACTAACGAGTGATAACTTTCGAACAGAAGCCTTAATTCCTCACGGAACTCAGACCGAAATCGAAAGTGCAAAGTTCCTCATGCATCGCAAATGAAAATGACTAGTGACCTCAACCATGGTCGGACCGACAATCTTTGACACCTTGATGAGGGTCTAAATAACAATAAACAGAAAATACATGAGATTAAGAAGAATTAAGAAAAAAAAACGAAGAGAGGGTAGAGAGATAAAAGAAAAAATAGTTGAGAAAATATTCATTCGAAAGGGTCATATCTAAAGTTATCTCAACGGTTAAAGGAATGTTTGTTATAGCTAGAAGTCTTAGGTTCGACAACAGAGACTGCAATAGTGTTTGAGCTTTCATTGTTAAATAATAGAGAACCTTTAAAACATATACTACCTCATAATCATCTTAGGTTAATAAAAAATGTAATATATAAATATATAAGCATCACATTTTATTGATATATGATAAATTATTAATTTGTCAAAAATTATAAAACTATATATATTTAAATGCATAATTTTTTAGATATGATCGTAATAGAAAAGATGTATAAAAGTTAGAGTTAATTGCTTCCAAACTATAAACCTTCATTTTAAATTTGTCTTTAAATTTTTTGAATATTTCAATTTCATCTCCAAATTATAAATCTTATTTTAAATTATTCCTTAAACTTTTAAACATTTTAATTTCATCCCTAAACTATGACCCACTTTCTAAATTGGTCCTCAAACTTTTGAATATTCAAATTCATCCCCAAATTCACCCAAATATAAATTAGTTTCAACCATAGCTTAAACTAAATTTTGTTTTTTCAAACATATAATAATACAACTTGGCCTAACGATTTCATTAACAAGAGATGTAAATTGTGATTAGAATATACGTATAGTTTGGGATGAAAATGAATGATCAAAAAGTTTGGGGACTAGTTTGGAATGAAGGTCTTGATTTGGTGATGGAATTGAAATATTCAAAATTTTAAGGACTAAATTAAAATGATAATCATAGTTTAAGGGTGAAATTAGAATATTTACAAGTCTAGAGACCAATTTATAATGAGTGTCATACTTTAAGGATGTGTGATGCAATTAACTCTAGAAGAGTCATCAACTTTCGAAGTGTTAGATGTAGATCAGAAATTGAACATCAGAACTATTACTTTTTCCCGATCATGTTTCATTCTTTTATGAACAATTGATTTAGAGGCTTTTGCAGAAAGAATAAAAAAGTACTAAAGAATGTACAAGATTCGAATCAGAATATCAGATCTTTGCACGTGGGAAAAATGAAAATAGATCTGGAAAGAAGAACACGGATCAAATAAAATTCAGTATCAACGGAGTTAGTTCAAATGGTAAGCAACTTGATATTATTTGAATCTTAAATTCAAATCTTTGTGTATGCGAAAAATCTCTCTATTGAAAACTTACATATCAAAACTAGGTATGCGATATAGATAGATCCAAATTAGTTAAAGGCAAAACTTTGGAACCGAGTCGGTTATTCATTAGCTCTTGAGGCTTTATTGTTAAACATGAGATAATAACACAAATGGCCCTTTTTCTTTTGGGTAAATATTTTAATATGATGCATGTAATTTAAATATATCAATTTTATCATTTATATTCGAAGTTCGTCATTATTCCTCCTAATAATATTTTTAAGGCTTATTAATAAGATTTGAAATTATAAGTTTTGAAAAATATTAAAATACTCCTATCACTAACTTAGAAGTATACAAAGGCATAAACTATTTGAGATAACTGCGATAACTTCAAATGATCATCATGCATGATATAATTCGTGGGTGCCTTAATGATGTCCAACCAATATCATCAATAACATTAATCAAGCATATTATGTTTATACAACTATTTGATAATAACTACGACTTATGCAACTCTTTGATATCAACTACAACCTGTGTTTATACAACCATTTGCCAACAATTTCAACCAAATTTGAAATGTTACAAAGTAATATAGGTTAAAGAGTAATTGTGTTACATTCCCTTAAATTGCATAGATTCGTCTCCTAACATAAAATTCTACGTATATTTATATTAAATACATCTACTATAAAGATACCCTTTTTATTTCAAAGTTAAGTAACAAAGATGAGATTAAATCAAAAGTGAGCGTTACACGAGAATATCATTTAATTTCATAAACTATTAATAATAAACTAGATTAATTCCTCATACAAAAGCATACATTAAAATCAAAAATAAAAAGGTACACGATAATTTCCTTTAATTTTCAAAGGAAAACATGTGGTTTTGCTTAAATCCATGAATTCATCGTCGCTTGCTACGCATAAATGCAGTTTGAATAACCTGCACAGCACCAAAAAGTTTTAGCTTAAATTTTTATAAATTATCTTAATAATTAAAAAAAGTGTTACTTTTTCTCGAAGTCCTAAATTTAAATAATTATGTCTTCATGTATGTGTGCGTTGTTAATATCTATAAATATTATGAACAAACATAAGTTTATAATCAATCCACAAATCCAAGAGTATGACCGCATCCCAAACACCCCATCAAGTGGCGGATCTATGGTTGTTGTCTACCCTCCAGTGGCGGATATAGTTTTGAATGTATTCTTTGATCCGAATAAGTAACTTACTTGGATCGGTTAAGACAACGAGACCGGAGCCTTTGAAATCACAGTTCCAAACGTTTCTTCCCTTGGACTGGTAGTAAGGTTCATGGCAACGGAAGCATGGTTGATGAGAGTATTGGATAGAAACAAGGACACCTTTCTGTATAATTTGGCAATCCACTTGGAACATGCGTAGTTTATGTTTTCCAGAAGAGCTGCTTGGTCTGATGATGGCTTAGCCGTGCACCATGTTTTCTGCAGATGAGTAAAACAAGCTTGTTGATTTATGAGTTTCCTGGGGTTGAATTAAGAACTCGTTGATGTAATTTACCTGTCCATTTGGAGTCATCAAAGTTCCTGTAAAAAGTGTTGAAATGTCGTTAGAATTATGAAATTAACAAGTGTATGTGTAATGGAGAAGTACCTGAAAGGAGAGGCAATAGCAGGAGAAAGAAGGAGAGATGTGCTGCCATTTTAGCCATTGAAAGCTGTACTTTTAAGCCTTTGGTAAAATGATGGGAGAAAAGAGAAGAAACACTGAAGCTTTTAAAAGGGACCGACAGATTAGAAAAGTCAGTTTAATTAAAGGCTACACTGAATAGACAGCGTTACCTTGAGACACTAGATCCGATAAAGTTAAATATTAGGGTAAACTAAATATTTAGTACCTAAACTATTTTTATTCTGTTTTGATACTTTAATTTTATTTTTTTAAATCATACATAACGTTTAGTTTAAGTTTCAATTTGATACTCTTTCGTTAAAAATTTAACGGTCATCTTGAGGTGTCACCATAAGGTAATGCCACATCATTATTGATTTTTTTTTAAAAAGTTCATATTAACAATTCTGTTAATTTTTTAACAGCGGTATACAAAATTGAAACTTAAAGTAAACATTAGGTATGGTTTTGAAAAGAATAAAGTTTGAATACCAAAATGAAACAAAAATAATTGTTTAAATACTAAACGTATAGTTTACCCTATTAAAATATATTGTAAAAAAAGCTTACGTAGACACAAATGTAAATGTTAAAAACTTTAATTTTTGTATTTGAAAAGTATTTTTGGAATCAAATTATAAACTTGTTCATATTTTTTAATAAAAATATATTAAAAAATTAAATTAATATGTTTTATATATTATAATGTCAAAGAATTTAAATATCATTTAAATGCATGTTTTTAACTTATAACATTATATCTAAAATGACCATTTATCTTTTTAAAAGCATATTTTAATAACAATATTAAATATTTAAATGTTAAATCGAAGTTTTCAAACACATTTTTTTCATCACACTTTTTTTAAATATTAAATTTGCTTTTAATTGCCATGTTACGGGTAAAAGACCAATTTATTAAACTAAATTCCACACATTTATGTTTTCAAATTGAGCATCCTAATATAATTTTATGATAATATTTATTTTTTAGTTCAGATAAAACTTACATATATATTATAAATATTATTGTTTAAATTTGAATCACCTAAAATAAATATACCATCCTTTATAATTGAGATTATTTTTTAATTCAGTAATTATAATTTTTTAATAAAATGAAAATTATATTTAACAGAATATATCTTAAAATAACATTTGAAAACTCAAATTCAATAAAACTAAATTAAATATTGTGATATAAATCGATTTGTTGTTTTTTTTCTATTTTCTCTCGCCCTAGTTGATATGCTTAAGTATTAGTATTGCGCTTATTTTTTATTTACATTTTATATCGTGGGGATAGTTTATATATATATATATATATGTATGTATGTACGTACGTACGTATGTATGTATATTTATGGCCAAAGTGTAAGAAAATGGGCAAAGGATAAGACATAAATTTTGAGAACTGTTAGCTTTTCATTGTGTTGTCGTCATTTAGATTCAATCGAAGTTACGGTGCGGTGAGTTTGAACACCTTTTTGGTGTAATCGCACCATTCCCGCCTCTTTGAGTAGCAACACTTCGGTGTGATTGTCTCACGTGACCTCAACTGAATTGGAAGTTTCTCACTGATGAAAGGTGTAGTGGCCTCCAGTTGAACAGCAAAAATTGTTGCTTCCATTTTTATAGGTTCGTCTTTATTTTACTTTTTCTTTGGCCGGCGTCTACGTGGTGCTTTAAAAAAACAAGAGTTCTTTATTAATTCAGATTTTAAATTAAATTTCTAAATTAACAAATCATTGAATAACCTTAATAATAAAAGCTAATGAAAGCAAGTAGATCATGGATCTACCACCTTTTTAGGTATCGGATTTGACGTTCCGCACCTTAGATTAAACTTGAACTCCTTTTTAGGTTCTCTAAATGTGCTGAGAGGGTAGCGTTGAAAGTATTATTTTACTTAAAATTTCGATTCGAATAATTAAGTTTATAAAGTGTATATATTATTAATAATTTTTAGGTTCTCTTGAATGTCTTTCAATTGGAGCAATTTTCAGCCAAAGTTTAGGATGGGCAAAACACTATAATAATTGCAAGTTACACCCCACTGCTAATTCAACGAATCCTGCTGTGTCTGTTTGCTGCTCAAAACCCTCACCTGGATGGTTCTATCTTAATACTGATGGAGCTGCCTCAAATGATACATCAAGAAGTGCTGCCGCAGGAATCTTTCGAGATTGTGAAGGAAATTAGATCTTGGGCTTTACTCATTCGACTGATTACTGCTCATCACTCCAAGCCGAATTGTGGGGAATATTCACTGGTTTAAAGATTGCAGGGGAAAATGGTTATGAACGAGTGATTGTCCAAACTGACTGCCTAAATGCAATCAAGATGATCGAGGATAAAGACGGAGCCGATAGCAATATGGTTTTGGTGCGTGCGATCTACAAATTGAGTTGCAACTCGTGGACTACTAAATTACAATGAATTCCAAAGGAATGTAACAAGGTGGCAGACAAACTTGCAAAGCTTGCGGACTATGTCTCTTTGAACGTCGCTCTTTTTGACGATGTCCCTCCAGATGTTCTCGAGCTGGTAGAGTGACGCTTTTGACCACTCGTATTAAAGAGTTTAATGTAATCTTCTATTTTCCAATTCAATTTTTTTAAAATAAATATCGTATTATAGTTATTCCAACCAGTTAAAAAAAATAGTATTCAGAGAGGCTGACCAAAGACGCTTGCCTAGGAATGGCAACGGGTCGGGTTCGGGACGGGTTTTGCTCGTCCCGTCCCTGAACCCGAAATGAATCACCGTCCCCGACCCCGACCCGATCAACGACGGGTTTTTTATCGGGGCATCCTATCGGGGATTTTTTTTGCCCCGTCCTCGAACCCAACCCGAAATATTATACCCAAACCCGAACCCAAAAAATATTTTATATATAATTAATATAAAATATATAAAATATTATATATATAATTAATATAAAATATATAAAATATTATATATATAATTAATATAAAATATATAAAATATTATATATATAATTAATATAAAATATATAAAATATTATATATATAATTAATATAAAATATATAAAATATTATATATATATATATATATATATAATCGGGGCGGGGCGGGGATACTTTGCCCAGAGCCTGACCCGAAAAAAATCCCCGAACCCAACTCGATATCATTCAACCCGACCCGACCTAAACTTGACCGGGTTTTCCTGTCGGGTTCGGGTCATACTGCCATCCATACACTTGCCTAGCAATGAATAATACAGTCGTTATCAAGGCACTAATAAGGGTGTAGTGGCGTTGACCCCCGACCCGATTGAGACTGTCTTGTTTAATAGCAGTGACTGATACATATATATATTTTAAGATAATTATGTGTTTATTTTAAATTTTGAATTTTTTTATGTTTATTTTTTATTTTATTGCTCACTTTAAAATTTTATTGGTGTCAATTCCATACAATTTTTTTTATTATGAATGTATATGTGTCAACCCTAAAAAATATTTCTCAATTATCATTGTTTAATGGTGACGAGTCATTGATAGAATTTAAAAATTTAAAAGTAAATCTAAAATTTTAATATATATTCTAAATACCCTCAACCATTTGACAATGAACGTTTAATCACCCTTACAGTTGTTGGTTCTCGAATCTGTGACCTTTAAGAATAATAATGATTCCTTTAAACACCGAAGTAAATTGGTAATTGGTTCGTGCTAATATTATTTTTAAAAATTAGTACATAATTATTTTTCTTCCCTTAATATATTAAATTAAATTTATCAGATTTTTTAAAATAATAAATACACAGTTACTCTCCTCTAAAACTTAAGGCATCTACTCATGATACACAGCCTTGTCACGTACAAATGATAAGGTATTATTATAAACAATACATTTGATATTTTAAATAATATTTTAAATTTTAATAAATAATATTTAAAATTAAATATTTTAATGAACAAAGTTTAAAATTGAATATATTTTGTTTGAAAACATTTGACATTTTAATAAATAATAATTTCCGTCTAAAAACGCTGAGGTCACGTAATAAGGCCCAATTTCACGACGATAAGGTCGATTAATTGCCATATATTAAACCCAAGAAAAATGAAATCCCATAAGTCTTGGCCCATTTAAAATTAAAATTGAAACATTTCAATCTTTTTTTTCCGCCAAAGATTTGGTTTTTTTTTGGATCGAGCTTGAATTTGTTAATGACATGTTGATGTCAATTGTTTGCCAACAAAATAGTTATGGCTTAAATCGTAAGGATAATTCTTTTAATTGAGATGAAATTTGTAATCAGAAAGAAATATATATCGAATTGAAATTAGAAACAGGTGCACTTATTAAGCAAACAGAAGAAAAGAAGGAAAGCCACCGGTGTTTGATGTCAGATTTAGCTTTGACTGATTCCTTGGTGTTTAAAATCAGTCATCGGTGTTTCAGCAAGGGAGTGGCACTCTCAAGTTTGGAGATTTAAGGAACTGGGTGAAATGGAGGCGAGAGAAGAAGAGACTTGGAAGAAAGAGGAGGGAATGTGGATTGCACCGAACGATGAAGAAGACGATGAGCATGATTCAAAGGAAAGGGTTCTACAAAGATACTTTCTCCAAGAGTGGAAACTTGTTAAATCTCTCTTAGACGACATTGTTTCCACTGGCCGCGTTTCAGATCCTTCCTCCGTTCACAAGATCCGTTCCATCGTAATCTCTCAGCCTCTCTTGTCTTCTCTATTACCTAATTTTCAGATTTTGATTATTTTTCTTTTTTTTTACATTTTTTTTCCAGATGGATAAGTACCAAGAACAAGGGGAATTACTAGAACCCTACTTAGAAAGCCTGGTTTCTCCTTTAATGTTCATTATCCGATCGAAAACAATTGAATTAGGCATTGATTCCGATGAGATTCTTCAAATAATTAAACCTATA